CTTATCACCACTCCGCAGGTCAAGCTGGAGGCAAAAACGAGTCTCACACGGTGATGTGACGAACACATGGTGAAACAGGGATTTTCCTGGGGAGACAGTCTGTGATCACTACAAATCTGGCATTGCAATTCCTCTAGCAAGCTCCCTTTAAAAGAATGAGCAAGATCTCATTTTGAGGGTGACTAGCACATCAGTGCTGGGGAATGGCACCCTATTAACAGCCTCGAGTCGCACACAACCACTAACGGGTCTAACTCTCAAAGAACCCCCTGAGGCAAGCAAATGCTACCTCTCGACACCACTGGGGAAGGACAACAGCTTTCCTGAAAGTCTCAGAGATGATCCGGTCTTTCTAATTTTTGTATTGTCTTAAAAAGTCTTTTCAGGAGCAGCATTACATACCAAGTAGCTTTTTGCAACAAGTTGGTTAAGTGCAGCTTTGGAACCAGGGAGAATACCTGGACATGGAAAATCACATGAGATACTTCTGCTCCCTGAGTACAGATAGCTTTGAAATTAGAACTCCTGTATGAATATAATTTGAAGTTATTTGTTATAGGAAAAAAGGGCCATTTCCATCAATATTCCTGTCTGTGCAGCTTTCTGCTTGAACTCTCCAAGTTACAACGAATGCAAAAGAAACCAGCTCTTATTTTCTACGTGGTTCTTTGATACCCATTCCCAGGTTGATGAATACCGCATTGTCTACAGTGCATCCTCCCTCCAACATCTCAGCAGTTTTGGGAAGTGCTCTTATTTCTATGTACTGTTTTACCTAGAGGTATAGGTAGAATCCACTTGCTTCAGTGACAGACAGCATCCAAAAACCACTCGAGATCTGGGTTTGAGAAATGGAGAGCATTTCCACATTGGTGACAGACAATGAAGCTGAATCCACATGGCCTCTTGAGCCTCAGATGTAAGGGATCTTGCTGCAAACTGCCAAGCTAACAAGAGAAATACTGACTTGTTTTCAGATGCAGTCTAGCTCCATGAGCACGGCACTAATAAGCTCTGCCAGGGAACTCTGTAGTCCTCGGTGTCCTTTCGCTATCCCTCGCTATCCCTTTCCAGTGTGAGCTGCGTTTTGTGGTTCAGACTTGTGCTGGTCACACAGGAAGACTCTGACAGGGCAGGAAACCGAACCTGTGGCTCCCATGGACCAGCCTAGCTGTCTTTTACATAGCACTCCCTCTTGACAGGAACTTCAAAATGTAAGAGGGTTGGTGAATATTCATCTGTAGCATCTGTGCTAATTTGCATTCTGTTTGCAGGGAAAGCTGGTCTCCACCCCCTTCACGGGGCTGACACAAGGGAAAGGCTCACATACAAAGGCTCACTTACACCCTCACACTTCTGGAGAAAACCCAAAGCTTCAGCGGAATCTAAATAATAGGTAAGCCATGTGCTGGCTCTCTGCACTTAGAAAGTAAAATTTGTTTTTCCCATGCTGCTGAACGGAAGCCACGTTTTACTAGTTTTAGGTTTAATGGGATCCAATAAATATGCAAATTTGCCAAACAATTAAATATACATGACATGATGGAGTTACATCCAAGTATATTTTCTAATTAAAAAATCCCTCCTTGTCTCTGGCAGTCCTTTAACCAGTGAGCTGCCAGGCTCCTGCCAGAACCGATGCACAAAGCAGACATGCGAAATGGCAGGAACGGGTGTTGCGGACTGGCTGGGGGATTTTGTTATTTTGTTACATGGGTACCAGTTCTGTACTTCACGGTTGGCTTAACTAAGGGTACTTCCTCCCTCTGCTCTCCGAAGAAAAGCAGACTGACATCTTTGGCAGTTTCCAAAGGGCAGTAACGCCTGCTAATAAAAAGCCACTGTCACCTTTGATCCAAGGACACACTTGTGCTGACTGAATTGTCAGAAAAATATTTTAAGATCATGTCTGTTAGAATATGGGTCACCCTTTGTATTACGGGTACATTTCTATTTGATTCATGGGGTTAATAAATTATTAATAGATGTTGCGGGCATAAGTAGTCCACATTACAGATGGCTACAGGCAACCCATTAACCTGTTGGACTTGAGCAGTCTGTAGGAATTAACCATTTATTGAAACTGTTGTAACACAAACGAGCCATTTCACTACTACGCCCTTAACAGAAGCCTGAATATTGCTCCTCAAGGGAAAGGGTATTTCTCATGGCAGGTACAGCTGGGGAAGGAGAAACACAACTCCTGGCTACTAACTCCTAGATTTTTTGGATCCTTTCCACAGCCCTGGGCCACTAATTCAAACTGCAGTGCCTCAACTTACTCATGCTTAAAGTGGAGATGACTGGCTTGCCTCACAGGTGGCTCGCAGAGATTGCCCTTCGTTCTGTATTTTGAGATGTGATATATCTTTGCAAAGGACAATTAACCTGAACATATTTTTTGCTTGCCCACAACATTTTCTTTCAATTCCCATTAGTTTACATGGTGAAATTCTCTCTCAAAAATACTTCCTTCTTAGTCCTCCACTTGAAAGTGCTTTACATGATGATAGTCAACAGTCAATCACAGCCACAAGATACCTTCAGTCGAAGGGGCTACGGAAGCAGTAGCTTGAATCTGGCTGTACGAGCAGGAAGCCACCACCTTTTTCCCCACTTTTATTACTCACTTCTGGCATGATTTCGATCTTCTCGTAGCGCCGCTTGTAGGGAAGAGTCAGCACCTCGGCTCTGCGGTAGGACATGGGCGGAGGCTGGCAGTCTATCATCAGGTCTGTGCGATGAGACTGCGTGGGTGGCGGCTGAGTGTACTGCTCCGGGCAAACGACGTGGAGAGGCTGGAAAAGAAGAGCGCGGTGACTTACAAAAATGTTCGGTTCATTCTGTGCACTGCCCTCCAGTAGTAATCCTTGCCATCAGGACGTTTGCAGATTGTTGTTAGCAAGCTGATTAATTTGTATGAAAACAACACCCAAAAGATGCAATCCGGAAGATCCAGTCAGGATTGGAACAAACTGGTCAAGGAGCAGGCAGTCTTTGCTTTGTATACAACAGTGCCCAGAGCAACAAGGCTCAAATTTGTGTCTTTAATCATCACTTCAATATCAGCAGTCATGCTAGCTGCCGTCAGGAGAGAAAAAAAAGAATACTCAATAGCTCTATCTTCCAAACCCTTGCCATCTAAAATGGGAGCCAACGGCAGAAGTGGTGGAGAATATCACAAAATGGCATGGGGTGAGGCAGATGTATCAATGTGCAAGGCTGCAAAACCATTAGCAAAATAAGCAGCTCTTGAGTTTTCACCACTTGTCAGCAACATCTTAACAAAGAATAAACAGGCTGGTTGCCACACGGATCGCTGCAGGATTGAAAGAAGCCAAAGGACAAGACAGTATTTCTTGCAAACTGTTTTGGAAACAGTATTATACTTCAGTAGTAACATGGAAGAAGGTGCTTGTCAGAAACACAGGCAATGGCAATTGCTATCAGTTGTGCAGCGACAAGCCGGGTCACAGAACAATAAATAAAACACCACCACCAACAGATAAAACGACGTAGACATTGTTATGAGGTTTGGAAGAATATGTATTCTTGTGTTCAGCAAGTTGAAGACAGATCAAAGGGAAAAGCTCAGGCAGGAAGAAACCTGGGTATTATTTTAATTACGTCATGAGTCAGAAAGCAAATTTCATTAGAAACAAATTGGAGGGACAATGAGAGGCCGCTACAGCCAAAATGGGAAAGCAGAGACTACGTGAATGTTCTGGCCTTGCTCCTAGACAGAAGTCGTCTGGGTTTTGCAAATGGAGTAAGGAAAGCAGTGGATTTGGAAGAAACATGGGAGTGGAACTCCAGAACAGCAGTGCCAGGACCAAAGCAAGTATCAACTGCAGGATAAAGAGCAGAGAAGGGGTTAAAGCTGAGGGTGCTGAGGATACTCAGCATTTGGTACCCTTTACATTAAGACTGTATTAGACACCTCCAGGCTTGTTTATACAAACATGAAAAGGTGATTATGACTATATGTACCTAAAAAGGAGGAAAGGATTGTACACACCATTTGCTCTGTGCTTTAAGCTTGTCAGGATCTTCCAGCACTCTGTGCAGAAATTGGCCATCACTCCGTATTCATTTTGGAGCAGGATGATAAAGCAGAGCTCAATGCTGTGTGCTCTCTCATGCAAAAAAGGATCTGGGTATTGTCTTGATTTTGCTACTGTTTAACCTAACAGTTGTTCACAATCAACCTATTTATTTTAGGTGTGTGAAGAAACCTACAAAAAGGCAACAGAAGTTCATTACCTGGACTTCTTTGAGTAGTTTAGACACCTGAATAAAATTCAGTCTTGTGTCAATGGGACAGTAAACACATTTCATCGCCAAAGGCTGATAAGGAGCCAGGGCATCCAGATAAGAGAAGTCTGGTTCTGAAAAGAGAAATGTTGAAAACACTGAATGCCTGTTAAGAACAAAGATGGCCCAGTTCCTCTCTGATTCCACATTCCAGCCTAGACAAGCTTTTGTTCAGCAATGTTAATTCTGTACAGATCTCTCTTCTTCCTTCCCCCACCCGTTATTTTCAGTTAATTTGATGAAAATTATGCCCACAATTAGTCTTACCTTAATCAAGCAACCAAGCAATACTATTCCATTTGAACACATTATTGCATGATTTTTATAACAAATTTAATCAAGACAAAAACATAATCTCGTATGTTTAATCAGATCCTGTAAAAGAAAGCAAGATGTATACATTTTTGGTATCATAAGGTAACCCAAATGTCAGCTTGTTTTTCACTATGACAAAAATGCAGCATAAAGACTGTATTTTGATAAGCCTGTACCAATGTCCTCTGCTACAGCCACGCTGCCTCCCAACTCCCCCTTTTCCTTACAGTATATATGTATGTGGGGTTATTTTTAATCGAAGTTCCAGGTTTAGACTGGTGGGTCCAAATTTTAACACAACCCAAGAGGACCTGCACGGAGCCCTCCCGTTGAAGGGACAGGCAATTGGGCTTTTTACAGTTGCGCCAGCCTGGCTCAGGCCAGGACGAACTGAAGGTTGCTCACGACAGGGGCTATCCAGGAGGAGAGACGGGCTGTGATAACTTTATTAGCTGGAATCTTGATTAGACCTAGCAAGTCTCAACTTCCCTTTGCACTCTTATTATTGACTTATAAAAATCAGATCAGAGGTTTGCCGGGGAAAAGTCACGCGCTGAATGGACTTCTACTCACACAGAGAGTAATACTGCATTTAGAATACTACAGAAAAATTTGGTGAATGAAAAACGAAGGTCTCTGACGTGACACACTGTAGCATACAGGTAGCCACTTGATTCTGGGGGCCACCAACTACTGACATGGAAAAGCTTATGCCATCACTAGCTACCTAACTGTGGGATGGATCGCATAATGGAAATGCAAGAAAAAGAAAAATTGGTATTAGTTTGGTAAGTACAGAATGAGAAAAAGAGAAAGGGATGCATGAAAGACTTATCTGCTAGACTATTCTGAAGCACAGGGCCTCAAAGGACAACCAGCAGAGTGAAGCACAGTTGCGAACCACCAAGCCTCGCCAGAATCCAGTTTGAGGTATCTCTCTGGTATCTGCTCAGGCTGTGTAAAAGGATGAACTTAAAGGAAACCTAAATACAGAGACTTCAGTCTAGATTTAGGCAGACATTTCTATGGTCTTACATCACCCTGAGGAGAGCACTGGCTGGATTTCTCATGTAGACAACAGGAAAAAATGTCCTTAAAACTTTACCACAGGAAGTTCAGCGCCCAGCATGGCAGCCGACATTCAATATTGGGCTTTCTTCTACTGATAAATATAAGTTAATTGCTAGCCCTAAAAACTGCTGCTGGCTAAGTACCAGTGATCATGATGTGGTTATATTTACCCTGTGAGAACAGAATATAGCATCAGCCAACGATACATATGTTTGGAACTGTCAAAGGGATAATTTTCCCAAGTTTAAAGCAATTGTCAGAATAACTGCCTGGGAACATCAAAGTGAGAAATATTAACAAAAAATGATAATTGTACAAGAATATCTTACTAGATGCCCAAAAAGCCACGAATCCACAAACATAAAATAAAAATTACACTGGGCAAAAAGCCACGCTAGTTAAAAGCAGATGTGTTAGTGGCAATGAAACAAAGCCTAAAAATATCAATGTGAAAAATGGGACTTAATGGGAGTAAGTTTAATAGCAATGAATAATAGTTTAAAAATAAGAATACTGAGATAGCAGCTAGTTGAAGAATGATCAGTGGTCAATTATAGTTCAGTCCAAAGGCATTTTAAAACTCCTTGGGGAAACCAGAAAACTTTAGTCAGGCACAGGTCCTCTGCTAGAGATGTATAGTGAAATTGCAAATGGTAAGTTTAAAAAGTTATCAGAAGAGAGCTTTGCCATCCCATCTAGGGTTGTGGACGACACAGAAATCTGACTGCTTGTACCTGAGAATGCCATGAGGCAGCACCTGTTCAGACTAAGTATTTTTGACCCAGTAGGTTCAGATAATCTACAGATACCCAAAATGGCATCCAGTCTACTGTCCCTCTGAACAACTAATAAGAACATAAGTAGCCTTGGAAAAGGGAGAAATTCTAATGAAGGAATTCTAACAGAGGACTTTGAAGATTTAGAACGTGTGAAAAACAAAACTTGAGCTAGTCTGATAGTGAACTCATGTGACATAAAGGAATAGCTGCTTTGAAACTACCAAAAACCCAAAGTCACCTGTCGTATGGGAGACAGCGCCTGTCAAGGACACATATTGACTTTTTCTAACAGAATTACAGGTCTTTAGCTCTTCCCCCAAGACATCTGATTTACTACTGTGTGACACTGAGTTATAAAATCTTCCACTGTACAGCACTAATGCGGCACACACGAGCTGTTTTTAGGATCTCCTAGAGAGCTAGTTTTTAAAGCATTGCTGTTATCAGAGACAGAGCAAGAAGCAGACTTCTTTCTACCATGTTTTCTTTTACAATTTCTTTGCAGCTTAGTGGCATTCAATATTTTTAATCAATAATGTATTCAGTACTGCTTCAGCGGGAACATTCGCAGATGACACAAGCAAGCAGAGCAGCACAACAGCTCACTCACAGCTGGTGTCCTGTCCACTGGCCGCAGCTGCTGTTTTACTCTATATTCTCTCGTAGTTGTTTTTTACATTACAAATTGGAAAGGTGGAGACCACCTAGCTCCTGTGGACTGAACAAGCAGTCTCATGATAACAATACCGCACGGCCTGGTGCTCAAAGGTCCTAATTACTAGAAACTAGGAGTCTTGCAGAGGAAAAGCTAGAACATCATCTGCTATCACATACTGTTTCAATGGACCAAATTTATTTCATAGCTACAGGAGATTTTGTCTTAAGACAGGAGAAGCTAGATAATTAAATAATAAAAATCCTGTGCATCAGTGGAGGTGCTTCAGATTTCCACTGGAGATACTACGAACAGAAGAATTTAATCTGCTCGGAATTTCTGCAGACAAAGCTGTCTTTGTTCCAGCTGCGCCAGCCATGAGGAAGCAGGAGCGTCCTGCCGAGTGGATATGCCTACAGACAGAGGGAGAAGCTGCAGTCGAAAAGCCACGGCTAAGACAAATTTAGGAAACAAACCACCACAAGCACCTGGAATCACTGCGCACTCCAAGGTCACTACAACCAAAGCAGATCTCAACTGGTGTTTTATTTGGAGTATAAACCGGGAACGAGTCTCAAAGCTCGTGACCTAATGTACCCACAGGTCGTTACGACCGCCATTCAGCTGCTTTAACAACTTGTCAGGGCTATGCTCTAATAGAGGACGGCTCTATTCCCTCATTTCACAGAAAGATTACATTTTAATACTGAAAGGTCAATTAGCTCTCCTTACCAGAAGGCACAGAATAAGAGTTCTTGCCATTAAAGGCCAGTCTCTGTCACCCTCGCTGACGGCGGGTAGCACATTCAGAACATGCTTTATGCCACTGATTTCCTCTGCACAACCTGGCAGAGGGTCTATACACCCTGGTTTTAATTGAACTCCCAAATGGAGTAGAATTCACTATTTTCAAGGTAATGCATATCTATATTTCAGTTTTACCAATTACTGTAATTAAGGCATATCTCCCGAAACTACTTCCAAGGTCAGGAGTGATGGGTACCGTAACAGCTATGACGTTAGTGCTGTGGTACCACGCACCACTTCCAAGCCCTCAGCAGGACCCCCCTTGTATCTTCCCTCCCCTTGCAGCAGGGCTAACGACACACTTTGCTAAATCTTTCCAAATTGGTTTAAAAGTATCATGATACAGTGACACTTTGTGGTACCAATATTGTGAAAGAGTCAAAGGGACTTGCTCATCACTAGCCTCAAGTCCACAGTTAAGAAAACAAAGAAGGAAGGAAATAACCCCTTCCCAATTCTCTTTTCTTTAGGAGGTTATGTGCTTTCCAGCAGTCCTATTCACTAAAAAGAAGAGGAAAATAAGCTTAACAGTGGGACTCCATCACGCCTTTGCTGCGGGAGTAGGTTTGATCAGTTACTCAGTGTTCTCCTCCCCATTTCTAATTACTTTGTCCTAGTCCAAAATCCACACCTTTTTTATCTGGCCAAGTTATATATAACTCATTGGCAATTATATCAGAGCTTGTTATACATAAAACCAGTAGCACTGGCTTAAAGGATTATTTCCCTTCTCAGAGCTGAAGAGTGCCTGTTGTAGGGTTCTGTTTGGATGATGCATTGGGTATAAAGAGGAGGCACCTGGACAGCATGTCAGTTTGAGGCAAGGCCTTGAAGTATTTTTAAGGAGATCAAACTCTGGAAGATATCCCCTCTAATAGATTTCATGAAAGCTTCACATTCTCTCTGAAATACCCGGTCTTGCTGTTAATGATTGGTGTGGTCCCAGGATGCAGCTGCCCTGTGGATCTCAGACCACAGCTCATTCTGAGGGAGATAGGGCTTGATTCATTAAATCCATTAAAAGTAGAGTCAGCACCAGAAGCAGACTGGGAGAAGCGGAGGAACTTAAAAGACCTGTTGTGCCCCTGGCAGCCTGACTCATTGAGAAAAGAAACGGCTCCCCCGGGTATTAGCTAGAGCTGTACCTTCAGCTTCAGATACAAATGTGCCTGTCTGGCATGAAAAAAGCTCAGCCAAAAGGCAGCAACAGCATAGATCACTACTGCCAGGTCTGTATGGGGTGCACACTTCTGAAACAGCAGAGATGACAGCAACAACTTTAGAAACAGACTGTCTGGTTGCCTGAGGTTTTGATGAAAGGGCAGGAGAAAGGATGAGGCAAGGTTTGTGTTTCCAACGGAATACAGAGAAGAAGTGTTTCTCCTTTCTGACCAGCATCAATTAGGTCTTGCCCGGGTTTAACTTGCAGCCAGCTGCTTTTAATCCAAAAATTAATTTCCTGCAGGCATTTTACTGCTGTGCATAACAAAGGTTTTGCTTAGAAATGGCAGGAATGGACTCTGCATGGCAAACGTTGGCTCCGCAGGACTAAAATCAATTAAATGGCACAATAATTACATTTGTCCCTACAGTCAATCCTGGGGTCTTAATTTGGATGAGCTCCTACCGAAGTCAGAAACTTCTGCCCCGGAACAAATGAGTAAAGCCCCTAGGATGTGGCCACACTTAACCAGAGTGCACAATCTATTGTTAATTTGATAAAGATAACTGCATTTTACTTACCCGTGAATATAACAGTGTTCAAGCTAGATTTTCCCCATAGCTCCATGAAATGAACCACGTCCCCAAATCTAAGAGAGGGATGTCCAGTGAACACAACACATGGCTGCTTGAAGTCATTGCTGAAGTCTCCATGGATGCTGGGATAATGTTTCAATTTGTTTGTCTGAATGAGCTGAAATCAAAACAAAAATCCAGACATTACAAACTTTTCATGCCTCTGTGCTCTGTAGTTCAGTGTGTTTATTTATATGAGATTATAAATATTCTACAGTTTATTTCTAATTCATCACAGAGTCCCTTCCTGCATATCCCCACGGTTTTCCAACAGATTTAGTCATGACTGTCCCAAATGTTATGAAAAGGAAGTCAGAGTATGGGGCCAGGTGCCTCCAAGTCCTTGCTCTCATTTCTTTGGTACCAGCAGTAAGGTAACAGCGAGGAAACTCTGCAAACACTCCCTGCTTAGAGTCTGCTGGAGCAACCAGAGCGCTCAGCTGCCAAATTCAAAACAAGCTACTTTTTCCTATTTGCCATGTCTATGAGGAGCTCTGGGCACTGATGTTGAACCTGGTTTTCTTGCATCCCAGTAGCACCAGGCAATTTTGCCTTCAGCAGTATGTTGTGATGAGTTTCATTGGCATACCAGGTTCACATGAAGTCAAATCCTCTGACAAAACATACAAAGAACAGCCTGACTTGCCCTCCCTTAACTGTCGCTGAAACTGGTAATAACACAGAACTAAGAGCACTAAGCAGTACTTGTCGCTAGAGCTGGGAAACAGAGTGTAATCAGCTATGCATGTGGAACAGATTTCTTTACTAAGATGGGGAGTTTTATTTATCAAGGCACTTTCTAAAGAAGAATTTTGTTGCTTTCTCCTGCCGCTGTTTTCTAATCTGCAAAGCAAGGGTTCAACTTAAAAAGCAACTTAATAGACTAGTCTGCTCAGCACTTGCATGCAGTATTTTGCAAGTATTTTCCTGGCAGGTATATGCTTCCATCCCCAGCCTGAAAATAACTGTAAATACAGTTTTCTTAAAAAGTATGCAATTTAACACAATGAAATCACACCCTGAACAACTAAGAACATGCACAGAAATAAAAAGTGTGAAAGAGAGGAACAGTACTTCCTTTGTCGGCCAGTATCTAGAGGAGGTGAGACTGTTCACCAAAGATCTCTCCATACGTTGCTGTCTCCTGCCAGGCATTGCAGCACCGCTCAAAACAGAGAATTCACATATGCACGGTTCAGCAACGTGTTTCTGCAGCTGTCGTGCCGCAGAATCCCAGACGATAGCACTAATTAGCAAACAGCATGTTCTTCGCTACATGTCACAACATGCTGTATGTATGGATCACGCCTTTGTCTTTCAGGACATTCCTCTTCATTGCAACATATTTGATTTTTAAAAGAGGAACTAAGAAAGAACATTACCATAAGCAACTTTTCTGGTCTCTCAAAGCTGTAATTCATCCTTTCAGATTCTCTTCTATTTGTTACTTTTTACCATGGTAGACCTAACTCAAGACAGTGTGCCTGCGCGGAAATGACCAGAAAGCTCAGAATTCTGATGCGTCTCTGAGCCTCTTAACAACTCATGCACAACAAAGCACTTCAGCACTTGAGGTTACCACACAATTAGGATCTTAATTGAATTTAGCATCACTGAACAAAAGAATCAACCCTACTCAACTTCTAGCTGTCACCACATAAAGATATGCTTTGGTGCTAGAACAGGCTGTGTGCAACCTTACCCTCAACACCCTTTCAATAACAGCAAGTTGGCTGCACACAGGTGCCAATATTTATATCTTCCTCCTTAGCTTCCTTGAGTTTGATCTCCTTCAAGTTCCTAACCACAAATATTTTGCTGTGATTTTGCATCTGACTTCCCACACGTCCTGTTTGTAACTGATGTGAAACAGCTAGATGGCTGGAATCATAGAATCATTAATGTTGGAAAAGCCCTCTAAGATCATCAAGTCCAACTGTCAACCCAACACCCCCATGCCTGCTAAACCATGTCCCCACGTGCCAGATTTACTTGGTTTTTGACCACCTCCAGGGATGGGGACTCAACCACTGCCCTGGGCAGCCTGGTCCAAGGCCTGACCACTTCACATTTTTCCTAATCTCCAATCTAAACCTCCCCTGATGCAACTTGAGGCCATTGCCTCTCGTCCTATCGCTGGTTACTTGGGAGAAGAGACCAACCCTCCCTCACTACACCCTCCTGTCAGGGAGCTGTAGAGAGTGATGAGGTCCCCCCTCAGCCTCCTCTTCTCCAGACTGAGCAGCCCCAGCTCCCTCAGCCGCTCCCCATCAGACTTGTTCTCCAGACCCCTCCCCAGCCTCGCTGCCCTGCTCTGGACAC